TGTAATACGACGTGGTATGATTGATTGAGATTTCAAGTTTAACAACAATATAACGCAAAACTGGGTCATATGTGCGCGAAAACGAAAAACGTGTGACCACGGCACAACGTTTAAAACACAATTGCAATGCTGTTTCGTCGGTTACATCCCGTCACGAAGACGACCAAACAGATAATACCCCATTTAATTCCATTCTAATATACGTGCGCGGCCCTATCTACGCGTACCGAGCAACGTTAATAATACGTGTACGTCCATGCGAATCATAGGAAGCTCCAATTCGCAGAAACAATGAAAACGTTGCGCAACAAATAATTTATGGAACAGAAGCGCGTTTTTATATTATATTATTATTTTTTTAATCGTACGGAACAAATTACATAAACGTTATGATGTTGAAAACGTCATAGCGATATCAAAACAGTCGGGCGCATTGCCGACGAATATTAATAATCGAGCTAATCCGAGTCGAACGATTTCGCAACGGTTCGCAAAACCACTCGGTGATAATGTATTTCTTCGATCGCGTTAATCGTCCGCACGATTACGTTCGATAAATACGTTCGTCTTCCCGTCCGCGACGCGATCGCGATACCGTGTAGTGCAGGTGCTAGAGTTTGCGAGGCCCTGGGAAAAATACGTTTTGAGTCTTATCGTTTCTATTAATAGAATTGTTCAAGTTCAGTCAAACGAGAACCGCGGGGCCTTAATTATGATTTAAGGCGCGGGGCCCCGGGCAACTGCCCCTATTTCCCTCCCCTCGCGCCGTCCCTGATACCGAGTGTGCGTGTTTGACTTTTGTGCGACGAATTTTTCGGTCGATCCTTTCCGCGACGACGGGTCCAGCCGTCTCGGTCGCACCAGCTAGTTCGGCGAGCCGCAGCCGACGCACCTCGTACCCGTACGTACAATATTGTTGCCGCGCGTTCGACCACGGTCTTTTTAGGTCCTCAGCACGCCGGTAAGCACCGCGTTTTGATAACCGATCACGGTCAGTTTTCATAACCAGCCGAGACGACAAATAATGGTAAAAGTATACGACGGCGACACGGATACGGGCATATCGATTGTGTACAACTACTGCAGCCGTGTGACGGCGGTGGTGTGCTGCGCAGTGATTTCTCGTTTGAATACCCACAGAAGCGGAATAATTATCGTTACGCAATTGTTCTCTCTTTAAGTATACTCGCACACACTCACATCGGTCGTGTTTTAAGTAATATCGTAGAACGCAAGCTACGGACCAGAAACCTAACCTATGCCGCCGCACTGTTTGTTTATCGAACTTTTAATTTCGCAGCGTAATGCGCGAATGACGCGTATTGATGCATGCAATATTTCATTATGACCTACACGCACACACACACACACACACACACACACACACACACACACACACACACACGCTTACACACAACGCACTTTACCTATATAATGGTATACTTACCTAACCTATCCACCTACATCTACAATACCGCATTTATTCTTGTAATACGCGTGTACACTTTAATATCAATTTACGTATGCGAATAACAATCGTATACACGCGAACACGATTTGCCAACAATACGCTATTATTATTATTATTATTATTATTATTATTATGTGTACACACCATAGACCTTATACTTGAGTATATGGTCTATGGTACACACTACGGGTATATATATATGTATATATATATTACGTATATTTTATCGTATAAGCTATCCCGATAAGAACACGAATAATAACAAATACCCCTTTCAAAAATAATTGTTAATCCCGTCGCTTCGCGTGTCCCATGTGTTATAAACAGTTATAAAATCTTTTTTCTTCGGCCACGCGTCAAATCGTAATTGGTGATACATAACTGCTGCACCCGTGTATCGAAATAAAATTCGTTTATTCCGTACAGAGTCATGTACCTATTATGATAAGCACTCAGTGATTCGTGTCCCTTTTGAACAAAATCGTATTAATCACTTTTATGCTTATTCGGTACTCTTCCAGAATTGTTCCGCCACAAACATTACACTCACCACGATCGTGCACCGTCTTATCAATCCATTGCATCTAACTTCTTCGGTTAGACCTTCAAAAATGTATATTTACTTATACCGTGTTTATCTCCTACGGTTGTTTGTGACTCTTCACCTTTATCGTGCCATTACGTACTCGTCCGGTACAGTTTCTCGTCTTACCGCATATACCGTTAATATAACCTTTTCTTCTGGTCCGGAAATTTTGAAAAGTACTTCTGAATCCGTGTCCTTTTGAAAATCGCCCGTCATCTCTCACGCATCGTCCGCTCTAGTATTACATTAAAACCGTGCACGCGTACTTTCGTGTATTTTTCTTATGACAATTTCTGTGCTACACGGCGACCTATTTGGTTCGATCATACTGTGATGTTTTAATTTTTTTTTCGTTAGCTCCTCGTCAACACTAATCCGTATTAATCTCGTGGTCGACACACGTGTGACAATAACTATTTATTAATATTCAGTTAATCCCGTGTGGTCTAGTTTCGGCGATTATATCCATGAAATCTAATATTACATGAATCGTATTGGCCAATTAGAAAACGCTTTTTTTTTCTATTCCGTTTTTATTGTACTCAGATCTATGATATCATTCATGAGTCATGTTTAAACAATACGCGTTTGTATACGATTTAAATTTTTTATTTTTTAAATGGTGAAAAAAAACTTGAACGGTTAAAAACATATTTGTTCTTAAAGCTACTCCGTTGTTATTTGAAATAAACATGGTTGCGTGCAAGCCTTTGTTTTTTTTTTGAAATTTTAGCTGATGTATATGGGTAATATTTGAAAATGTGTCTTTTACAAATATATATACAAGTATACAGCAAATCATTTTTTATGCAACTCGAATTATATTTATTAGAAATGTATATTTTACATTCTTTCGATATAAAACATTTGTTCGATGTACAAGTATTATATATATTAAAATGATTATAAGAACATGATATTAAAATAATGTTGCAGGAGAAAAAAAATGTTGGTGAATTTAACTGTACAAATTATGTACTTTACATAGCTGATAATTTTAAATTTCATTAAAACATGCGATTACTATATACGATTGCTATCATTACTCGCATGCACACAGTGTTAATTATATTATTCTTTCGCGATCCAGCTATTGTGTAAGCCGGAAAAACAATAGAATTTTTTTATTTGCAAATAATCCTATTATTATTAAACGGAAATTAACGAACGCGTATTGCTGTTTTTAGTTGTAACATTTTAACAGAAATCACATGCTATGAGAATTTTTCGCGTCACTTAAAATTAAATTATATCTATGTATCCACTCGTACACAGATACAAGGTAATATAAAATCTACCGACGAAATTACCACAAATTAAAAACGGCATTGAAAAATTTATATATACTTGATAAAAAGTTAAAAACACATTTTTCACATGGACAAAGTATTATATGATTTTAAATTACAAAATGACAACACCTTCGATATCAATATAACCCGATCAGAGCGTACACTTTATCGTGGTTAACTGCTATCGTACCTACCAGTGATGCACTCAAAACTTAAAGGGTTGTACGATAACTATATAAGTTAAATCTGCCTAGAATCTAAAGAGTTGATAACAAACGTGATTAAATGGTTTTTAGAATATTTCGTCGACATCGGTTATAAGATTCACGGTATGCGGAGTGACAAATATAAACCTACATATAGGTATAATAGTAAAAATGTTAAAATTAAACAGATTATTTGTCCGTATTCTGTTCACGTTCATTCATACATTGAAGTGAAATAATTTTGGTTCTTAATGACCAATAACGTTGTCGTGATCATTAATTGTAAAAAAGCCAAGTAGTAAATTCGAAATATTTATCTTAGAATGATAAAAGATTGACAGTTTTCCATGTACACAGTCATAATATTTTTAATAACCAACACTATTGTCCTCCTAATTTCTGAATCATGGAATTATCTTAATCTGGACCTGATACGGCATATCATGGTACATACGAGTAAACCAGTAAAGAACGAGCGCCCTGTATAGGAGCAAACATTTTTTGTAAACAATAAACAGTTTTGACATAAAATTATCGCCAAAATGATTTTTAATAAACAGTTTTTCCATTCATATTTTTAGTTTTTACACGGTTCAAGGGGTCCATCTATCGCCAACATTGTAAAACCGTCACTGTTGTATATATAACACGTATGTGTTACGTTAGGATGTATTATTTTGTAACCCAATACATAATAGCGAAGCAACTGATATATGAATGGGTGGCATGGCATACTCCGATTGCAAAAATAAAATAATCTTTTTATCTCATGATGTAAAATATACATCTGAGCAATTATGAGATTTAAGTTGAATATATGAATACCTATTTTATTGTGTCTAGAATATAACACCTTAAATTGAGATGTTTAAATTGTTCATTTAAATACAACTTGTAGATATAGATTCCTCATCCTTCACAGAATCGGGATATCAAATTAAAAAGCAACAATATTATTTGTGAAACGTTGAAGTATTTATTTTAAACGGAATAACTGACACAGTTTCATAAATAAAAATAATATGAAATATGAAATAGAATCATCACATTTAAAAAAAAAAAAAAAAAAAAAAACCACTGCTGTAAATATTAGATTGACCGTAAATTGTAATTTACAGCATATTGAGAAGTACCCTGTACTTCATTTTACCACCGATGGTAGACCAACCTTTTTTTTCAGACCCGGGGTGATCGCTCCGAGTAATCTTTCAACAAACCGTCCCCGGGGGGGCGTTCAAACACCCAATGCAAACCAAGCGCTCACGGTAACAGTATAAACTTTATAGATCCCTGCGTGTCCCTGGTGCTTCGGTAGTAACACGTAGTCGTCAGACGTTCGAAATTATGTACATACCGAACGAACACACAAGTATTGAAATAATAATAATAATAATAATAATAATAATAACGTTAATATTTTATAAGTGCAATCCGTTTGTCCGCAGGTATCTACGGCACGCTGTTCAGACGCAACAAGGAGGCGGCGTTCAGCAACTACCGGCTGTGGGAGTCGGCGGGCTTCGTGGTGGCGTACGCGTACAGCACGCACCTGTGCGCCAGGAAGAAGCTGTACGTGATGGGCGTGGTGCTGTGCATCGGGTTCGTGGGCTACATAATCGTGGAGATCCGTCACAGCATCAAAGCCAGACGGCTGAGGCGACTGGCGGAGGACCCGAAGTCGGAGCCGCTTCCCGACGAGACCGTGAACGAGACGGACGACGAGAAGGACGACATCGACGACGAGATCATAGTGACGCACTTGTGAGGGCGGACGAAGAACGGAGAACGACACGGGTGATTGATCGAGTGGAAGAAGAAGTGAAAAACGTAAACAACGACCGCAACAACAACAAAAAAAAAAAAAAAAAAAATTAAGGAAAGAAGGAAAAGGAACACCGGTGAGCGACTCGCATTCGTGCGCGAGGATTTTTATGTTTTATTTTTTATCTCCCTCACTTTTACGTCTCGCCTTTTCCTGCGGCGCGCGAATTACACTCGTCCGGCTCTCTTGCGTCTGGAACGTTTGGATTCCCATTCGTCCGCCAGTAAAATTTTACCGCAACATTTGTCCTTCTACGGTGCAGACCACTGTGTACACATAACCGCAACAGTGCACTAACTCAGCTCCATCTTTTCAGCTCCGATCCCACCGCTTAGCGTTTTTACTATCGATCTGGTGCAGAGTTATACGTATAAAATTAGAACATTTTACGTGTAACGCGAACATTTTCATGTATTACATGTTGTTCGACTTTTTCGGGGGGTCTAAGTTAACATATTTAATTTCCTCGTCGCTTCCCCTCGCGTTTAAGTCCTCCCCCACCATTTCAACCGCAGCACGTGCGGTGATCTATCGGTACTTATTACACTCATATACGAGCCGCGCGCTATCATTAATATGTACTGTTATTAATGCATTAATAATAGTAACAATAATAGCTGATCAACTTTCAGCCTCTTCGAGCCATTAAAATCTACGTCCGTTCATTGTGTTCGCGCGACGGATTACTCGTTACGGACACCGTCGGCGATTCTCGAACTATGATCCGACAAAATAATTTAAAGGCTCCGTGGCCACAATTAAAATTCAAACATTGTTATTTTATTGATTGCCACGTATTTTACATCGATTGTGTATAATTATACTGTCTAGGGTTAGACTCTAAGCGTGTTGGTTTTCTTCCGTCAAACCGAGTATTGAAGTGCTAGTAATAAAAAAAAAAAAAAAAATAAATAAACAATATAATTGTTCACATTGAAACTCGTGCATTACTTAATAGTATTTGTGTATTATGTTTCTTGTATAGAAAAAAATATAAAAAATTTAAACATTTTATATTTACATAAAATTTGCCAACGAAATATGAAGGAACATTTTTGCACATCATTTTCAACGAGTCTTAGTTCAATATTGGCATTTCTGATTTTCAGGGGTACGAAATTTTTTTATTGTTTTTAATACTTCGAACATTAAACTTTAAAAACCGCTGTTCGTCATACGAGATAGTTTTTCACCATATTATTTTCACGCACTCAAGACCGACAACGGTTTTATAATTGTTACTATTAAGTGTTATGATCGCAACGCGCTGCGTACATACATCGTATGAAATTAAAATGAATGCCTTTGTGTTTTACAGACTTAAACGGTGCGCTAAAGAGAATAAAAACTCAATACGAGAGCTCGGTCGTTGCTATGTGTGTTTAGAACGTCTTCATCACTTTGAAAAGTTATTTATTTTTATTGTATATTATCATATTTTCAATAGTACATAATTCTATTATATGTATATAATTATTTATAATCATATTGTAACGCTTTAAAGACGTGGAAATCGGTGTATACGAATCCACTGGTTACTAACGGTTTTTAATTTATTGCCGCATTTTGTACATATAATATTTAAATACCATATCATTATTTTCATAATAATAAAAAAAAATTAAAAAAATATATTATAGTAGAACTTTGTATATTATTTTTATTAGAAGTAGTAGTAGTAATAGTATTTTAATGAGTATTATATATCGTATTTTTCCCTCCCCCCTTTTTTTTTTTGTAGTGAAAGTGATCTAGTTTTAACATATTTTATTACTAACTATCAGTTGTATATTGTAGATATAGTTTTACGTTATACTTTTATGTATATATATAAAAGTAATATGAGTTAATTTGTGTTAATTATTTATACGCCTATATAGACCGTACGCATATAAGTAGGTAGGCATATTATACTTAGTTGTGTAGTCTTAAACATATTTTATTTTCCTTTCGATAAGACAATACACGTCCACAAGAGTATTTTTAACACGTTTTGTTTCGATAAATTATTATACCTTGTAAGTGTACGATTTAATGTTGACATTATTGATGTTACTTATTATTATTATTATTATTATTTTTTTTTTTGTGCATTTCGTGTTTGATGCATTTACATTGTAATTAATTCGATAAAATACTTAGGTACTAAACAATATATATTATACATGATTATGTAGACAATAAAAGTATTTATATATATATATATATATATATAATGGTATATCCTCATCAGCGACTACTGTGATGCGATTTATCTCGTAGGAATTTGTATAAATGTTATAGATTGTGTAATAAAAAAAAATATATACATATATAAAATGAAATAAAAAAATACATTACGAGATCGTATGTACAGTATTCATTATTAGTTATTATTATCGTTGCGTGTGTTCCTATTCCTAAACGAATGAATGCGATACGTACTATCGTCATATCCATCGTCCTCTGTTGTGTCGTTCGAAAAACCGGACGAAATAATAAGACGAACGACAATGGCGACGATGACCAGAAGGCATATTGCGATACTGGATGACGAAAAATACGAGTTCGTGATTGAAAACGGCCAGCGTGTGTGACGCGAGTATGACGAGATGTGTGCTCGTGCGTACGTGTGTATAGGACTTCGCAAAATAGTTCACTGCTGCGTTGTATAATCGGTGTTTTCGACCATCCGATTCGAAACGGTTTTATTTTATTTTTTTAATTGCAATCAAGCCAGTACAGTGTGTGAATTATAGGAGAGGAACGAATTTCGAGGAGAAGAAGATTTGAGCTCAGAGTAAGATGACCTGGGTAAGATGGAAACGAAAAATACCTGTTGAGGAAGCGAAGGGGAGTACGAATGGAAATTAAATTGTTTGAATCGTAAATCGTGCCGATTACGCAGTGAGCAAGAACCGAGAAAAAGCTTGAGTGAATGGCGGGGAAGCAAACAGTATCGTAATCGAAGGCGGACGAAGACAGTGATCGGGCGCCTTCGTGTTACTGAACTATAGGTGTCGAAGGATTGCAAGGACATTGTATTAGCCGTGCCTTGCGGCCAAGTAAACGATTAACAGAACCGTTTGGATTGCTAAGCGCCACGCAAAAGTACCGCGATGGACAGGTAGGAGATCGGAACCTGGTGTTTTATAGGTGGAAAGCCGGTAAGAAAATCTAGCTGAAAATCCCAGCAAGTTGGCTCGAAACGTTCACGTGTGCTATACATCGCACCAGTTCCGCAATAACCGGGTGTGTTGCGTGTGTCAAACACACGGGCCCATGACCCCAGCTTATAATAGGGCCCAATGGTAATGTTTTAAAAATATGTAGAAAGCAAGAGAATTAAACCATTTTGTAATAATAATTATTTATGGAGATTGAAAAATAAATGATTGATTTTGTTTTGTACACATTATCGTACATCAACGTTTTTTTTTACAGCCCGTTTAATCGGAATTGAAAATAGATTGGTTAAAAATACGGTACGGTTTCTCTGCAGAATCCGGATGCGGGGGAGGGTGTTCATTTTACTTAGACACGGGCCCATAGTTGCGGCACTGCATCGCACATACTCGAAAAAACGGATAACCGCTTCGGGTCACGTAGTCAAAGGGTGTGTAGGGGTTTTTCAGTGTTATTTCGTTTTCGCAGACACAACATTGTTTTGTTCGTAAACAACGCCACCGGCGATAACGTCGATTTTCGTAGTCGTTTTTCGTCCGAAAAGACGATTAATTCTAATATTCTAGAAAATAACGGTCGATATGCAATTGAAATATTTTTTCAACTCTAATAATGTAATTCGATGCATGTGACGTAATTGAAAATCCGTTTCGTACATACTTACACCGACCTAAGCTCCCCGCACACACACATGACCAACAATGGATATGAACGTGACTGACCGCGGTGGACTTTGTCCGCGTGAATGGTTTTAATATGTTGATCGATTTTTTCGTAAAAAGCTACGAATATGGTGCACCACAGGTTTAGCACATGATTTTTTTGCCTTACGAAACGGAGCCGCTGGGTATGCGCTACAGGGAAGTGTTGAAAGAGATCGTCAAAACGGGTGGTGGTCGTTTAGGCGAAGGTAATGATTTTGACCAAAAAAATAATAGTCCGTTTGGGTAACTATCATGTGTACCGTTTGGGCGAATTAAATTATTTTTACCTGTGCGAAGTAAAAATCTGATAACAAATACGGATGATATTATTGATATAAAAAATAAAGAGTTAATACAAGAAACATGAAATACAAATAAAAGAGATATTAACCAATTAGAATTCATAAAATGTTTAGGTTTAAAATATCAGGCCAATAGTTTGTTTTAAAAACTACTAATAATTATATTATATCATATAATTATAGTTATATTATATATATATAACTATAATATATAATTATATAACATTATAACCTAACCTATCTGTAATTTTATTTTATTATTTTAATTTTTTGACTATAAATTATTTCCTACTTATAAATAACAATATTATTAATATCCATATCAATATTTTTTTTTTAAACAGAACTTATTATTAATTATTTATATTTTATATAATTTTGTTTAATTAATTCTTGAGTGTATATTATAAGCATTTTTATACCATCCAAACGGTATTTTTAGTTAAATAATCCTAGCCCAAACGGTATATATTTATTCGCCCAAACAGACTATATTTTGGGTCGATTCGCCCAAATGATGTACGCCGTCAAAACGATACCATTTTACTGTATACCTCTATTTAAGGGCTCAGCCTGTAAATTCGTAATAAATAAATAAATAAATACTAATAGCGAAAAATCGCACTCGCTAACCGACGCGACGCGCACGATTAGGTATTCGACATTATTTGTTTTTGCATTCCTTTCGAACCGATGTAAATATATGCGTGGAGAGAGAAAGAGTGTCGCAATAGCGTCTCGACGACGACGATGCTGCCGATGAAATTTTCAACACGATTCCATAAGTCACGATCACAAGTTTGTGTACCAAGTGGTTACCGCGAGTTCGCGTTTACTTAGCGCGCTAAAATCATACG